AGATATCGACATGATGTCCAAATAATCTTCTATTGAAACCATGAGCTCATAAATAACTTTATTCACCACCGGTTGATTTGGTCTCACATCATGCATGTTGCACTATGCCCGCTGTTCTTGTTCATCCTCAGGATTTTTATTTTTCAATTTCTGAGCGGAGCTGCATTCTGCTGCCTTGTGTGACTGCGAGTGCTGCTAAACGTTTGTTATGTTAGCTGCTGTTACCTTCTCTGGTGGATTATCAACTTTGTTTTCAAGAGGAATGAATCCATAGATCGAGAGTTTCTTGTGAGTCTTGCGTGCACTGTGTCGCTTTAAGTCGTCTTCTACTCCCTTAAGAAAAAAACTTTAGCGACATCTCTTTAAAAGGTTCTGGGTGTCGCCCTCCACCAGCTGCAGCTGAGAGCGAATACTTTCCCAGACTCTGTTGCATCTTCTCTCTTTGTCATAGTCTGCATGCATCCAGGTAGCTCGTGTCTTTGTTTTGTGGCAGTGGGGCGTAACCTGCACTCTGGAAAACTAAAGCCAATTAAACGTGGGATATAGTCTCAATCAGCGGGATGTGGGACAAGTGATGAAAATGAGCAGTCCGCTATGTGCCGGACTGAGCAGTCCGGCACATAGCGGGACCACTAGGTCACCCTAAACTGAGGAACGTTTAATATTAACATTGTTTGAAATTCATATTTTAATTTACAGAAAAAGTCTAAAAATGTAGCCGACATGATTCTGTGAAGCACAAAAACACTAGAAGAAGATGTTTCATTCTTCCTATTTCAGCAGTGAATCAGAACTGTGTGTGTGTGTGTATAAGTGAAGAGGGGGGTTGTATTAAACGTTACAGCTCTTGTGCACGTATATATATGCTGCACATTTTGATATAAGTGCATCCTATTGTGTTCAGAGCTCTGCAGCTGCGGGGGGGCATCTCCTCATGTTTCATACATGAGCTCATTAGCGGCGCTCAGACTGCCCTCCTCTCTCTCTCTTTCTCTCTCTCTCTCGGCCGGCGTCTCCTCCTCAGGCACCGCCCGCTGCTGGCAGAGGGCACAGGAAGCAACATAAAGCTATCCATCCGACTTCATGCCCCACAGAAAATCTGGCACGTTACGAGGACCTATACGCCATAAAAGAATCCCTTTTTATCCCCGGGCCGTCTCCGTTCTATCCCGTCTTACAGCAGGGGGGAATCATCTCTCCTCCGCTGTGTGTTTGTCTGAACAGAGAGCCAGCTGGGCGACTGTACTCCACTGTACTGTTTCACTTTCTATGCACAATGCCGTCACCAGCTGTGAGGACTTCTGTCTTTTTATCAGAGAGCGAGCGCACAGTACAGCTCATTACATATGGTTTCATCAGGCAGAGAATATGTGGACGCACTTAAAAAAACTTTAATGGTTTGCATTGAAGCTGAACTGTTTTAATTCTAGAAGTGGGTACTGCACAATCAAAGGTATTTGTTTATTTAATGTTGATTTGTATACGGACCTGTATGTTGCATTTAAACTGATACAGGCAAAATAAGATGATTGGCTGTAGGGAAATTGGTTGGGAACAAGCAGCAATCTCCGGTGTTAAAAAACTAAGATGATGCAGAAGAGTAAAATCCTGCAGTTCCTTGAGTGTCCACTAGAGGCTGGCTGCAGAAGCACAGGAAGTCACATACACACCCATTCAAAAAAGCAGAGATTAACATGTTTACAGCCTGGTTCAAAAAAACAAATAGATGTGATTAGCTCATGTCTCGATCGACAAACACTGTTCGGGGGGGTGAATGTTTTGATGACTCATCAGTTTTGATTTGATGAAGGATAAGAGTTATTCACAATAAGGCGTGTAGCTGACCTGATTGACAGGTGGGCGAGGTGTAACAGTTTGTCAGGAGGTTTAAAACCCGCCTCAGCTCCAGCTCTCAGCCTGTTGTTAGGTTGACTGAAAGTTAGACTGAGACAGCATTTCCAGCATGGAGACCGCCATCGATGGGACTCCAGTGCCCCCTGCAGGAACAGATAGGTGACGTCACTGAGGCTTCATCCAATCATGTTTACAGACTGTGGTTTGAGGCCAGGTCTGCACAGGAAGTCGGTGGAGGTCAGAAACAGGGGTTAGCCGTATACATGCAACAGTATCAGCGTCTTTGAGGTAGCGAAATTGGGTTTCTCAAAATCATGATGAGGGCTTATCCTGGAGTCTAATATCAGGATATGAAAGTTACATGCACAAACACAAACTTCATGATTCATAATAAATATTGTTCATCTGGATGTGGGGAAAGGCGAGATGCCTGGCTGGTGGTGATGTTGTTGTCTCTGTCTGTTTTGGGTCATAAAGAATAAAGACCTCTTAAAACGTGTATTAAAGGTTTGTTAGTTGTCCTTTTATTTAAGCTGTCATTTCTTGCTACTGCTAGAAGTCGCTAAGAGACACTACGATGGGCTATCTCAGTTAATGAAAGAAGTAAATGAAGTGAAAGTAAGACGCTGATTTCTTCTCTTCACAGAGAGCTGTCTGAAAGAAAACACCTCCAGGTACATGAAGCTGCTGGAGGACAGACTGCACAGGTGAGTGTGTTTTCTCTTTGATGTAAAGACTTCATATTCTACAAGAAATAAAAAGAGATGTGAACACAGAATCCTCCTCCAACAGAGGCAGCGTCTCCCCCCCGATACCTCACCCATCACATCAAGCAATCACACCTTTTTTCTTATCCAGAGCGCTGTTCTCACATTTCCCTCCGTCTCACACCTGCTCACTTTCTCCTCTCCTCTCCCTCTCTCACGTTTTCTATTGTTTTATTTTCATAACTCTATATCTGCTCTGTCTCCACCTCCATACCGAGGAATAAAGCATCATATATGTTGTGTCTATTTGCATGTGGGAGCTCTTAAATCTCTGAGGACAGGTCGGGTGGCTGTGTTTGGTGACTGAGCTCGCCTTGAAGTTAAACAGCATGTTGGTGATGTGATGAGGAGGTGACCAATCTTTCTGTTTCCTTATCACGGTCAGAGCAGCTCAGCTCTCTGTGACCAGATGTGATCGGCTTGTTTTCTCAAGAAGTGGTGAAAGGATAACTATTGGTCAGATTTCCAGTGGGGACTGGCACCAGGGGCGTGTCAAGACTTCTTACTTTGCAACATGTAAATCTTCTTAGCTTGATTCTTTAGGGACTCAAAAACATGCCACCCCTCCAGATACGCCCCAGGCTGGTGCATTTTTCTCCAGGGGTCGGAGCAATTTCTGACAGATGGGCCTTGATGAACAGCTTAGTTTGTTAGCTTGATGCTAACGCATGATGGAAATTGTCATTAAAAGGCTAACAGAATTAGCACTGCGATCCCTGTGATGTCCAGTAAAATTATTTAAAGGCTTTATATGTGATTTTTCACACTTAAATATAATAGAAATCAAGTATATCCTCTGAAAATAACTCCGTGAGTCATGACTGTCTACAATGGGTGTAACACCTGAGTCCCACTGTCCGAGTTTTCCGAGTCCTATCTTCAGTTTGTTTACATCCGGATTGACTCCTCCCCTCGTGTATAAAAGTTGTTTAATTGAGGGACTAGAGAAAAGAAGAATAACATACTGTACTCACTGCTTAACTGTGTTTCTAGATCACGCTCATTCCAGGTAAATTTACATGCAGTGTGAAGATACGAGCATAATAAAGATCACTAGCATTAGCATGCTAACACAACAATGCACCGCGAGTTGTTTTGGTTTCATGCTGGTGCTCAAGGGCGACATCTGCTGGATCAAAAAATCACATATAAAGGTAAGAGATTCTAAGTTAGTTTCTTACCATCTCTGCAGTCTGTTTCTCAGCTGTCGTGTCATTGGTCAAAAGCTGGTGTCTTGTAGGCTGAATGAAATTAGCCCATATGTCCAGCAGATCAAGGGGGCAGGCCATGACACCTGTCACTCATTTACACTTCTACCGGGGTCAGATGCCTGGCCTAAAATTACTCGATTTAGGCCAGGCGTCCACAGGAAGAGTTCAGACTGTATGGACACGATTTTTCATATGACTAATTCTTCAGTCAGGCCTAAATTTATCTCGATCGTGCATCGTCAGTCGTTCAGTGTACACCGAGGCACGAAGGTCGATCACGGCTCGATCAGCCGCTCTGACCGGTCGGATGATTTTCACGCACATTCGCTCACTCACAGAGTGACAGCAGAGCCACGAGCCTCCGACTTCAGGACTTTTTTTTTTCCTGATTGTGCCGGCACAAACTGACAGACAGCATCTGAAATCACCATGGTAACAGCAGACATGCCTGTCTGATCTGTCTGCCCCCCTCCAATCATGAAAAAAACAGCAGGACATATCTGCAGACCTCCAGCTGACAATTAATATTTGTTATGATGTAGCTGCAAGTTAGCGTGTGTCTGTATGTGATGCTGATTGTGTGTGTGTGTGTGAGAGAGAGAGAGAGAGAGATTGTTTTTGCCGTGTGTGTGTGTTTGAGCCGTGGATATGAGACACCTGATATACACATAGATCTGATATCACCCTCTGTCTGTTAAAGCTCTCTTAATGTGAATGCTCCGCCCTGATTTCACTCGTACAGCAAAATGTAACACAATCTGCATTTGAAGATTAGTTTTCTTGTGTGCATTATTAAAGAGAGTGAGAGCTCAGCCCTGCTAGCTGTTGTCCCCTCAGCTTGTCAAAACATCAGATAATATTTGCAAAGATGGCACATGGCAGAAACACAGCCTGCCGTCGGATGAAAATGTCCTCTGGGAGAATCTGGTGGATGGTACGGGTTTTGTCTTGGTGTACACCATGTGAGCTGTTTTTCACTCAGAGTCTTTTTTTGAGTGTTCAGAGGAGGAAGGTTAGGCCGCCTGGGTTTTTACTCAGAGACCGGGAAGGCTTACATTGTCAGTGTGTGTGTGTGTGTGTGTGTGTGTGTGTGTGTGTGTGTGTGTGTGTGTGTGTGTGTGTGTGTGTGTGTGTGTGTGTGTGTGTGTGTGTGTGTGTGTGTGTGTGTGTGTGTGTGTGTGTAGGGGGGGTATCTCTCTTGCCTCCTTGGAGAGGAGGGGGTCACCTCTCTGGATTGGTGCCAGGACTCAGTCACACACTGCAGGCTGTTTGTTGTTGAAGGATGAACGGGGCTGGGGCTCTGCGTGGTCAAGGAGCAACATGGCAGTGATCTCAGCGCCCGGCGGGGGAGCACGTCTCTGGACCCGTTCTGTCAAGAGGGCAGATGGCCACTTTGTGTGATTTTAATGTAGTGTTTTTAAGAGAAAGTGAGACAGACTTTCAGAGGGAGAGAGCACCTGTCTGAGCTGTTTGTCTAATGGGAGGAAAGACTTGGCAACACAGCTGACTTCCTGCATGATAATACACTCCTCTTCCTCCTCCTCCTCCTTCTTCCCCTCCTCCCCCTCTTCCTCCTCCTCCTCCTCCTCCCCTCCTCCCCTCCTCCTCCTCCTCCTCACTCAAACCAGCCCTCCTCCTCAAGCTGAGAGAGTGAGTCCAACACGTGTGAAAGACAATTCCAGAAATGTTCCGGGTTCTGACAGTGTGTAAAAATGTCAGGATGTGTTGTGTGAAAGGGGGCACGTCAGAGAACATGTGTTGTACACCCGCTGCATTGTTTCCATTAAATATGAAAAATTACCTCCAAATCTCAACACAAGAACTCATAAATGCAGGAAAAATGCGAGCGGCATCTCCTAATGAATCATCTCCATAATGTATTAAACAACTGCTGCTAATCTGAATAAAATGTTTTGTGTTCTGGTGACACACTTACAGCGCCCGCGCCGCTCTAACATCCTGTTCTCGTCTTTAGCAAGGAAGAGATAATTGCTTTTTTTTCAGCACCATCCGTCTCCACGGAGACCAGACATCTCACCAGCAACTAATCTTCCCCCTCCCCTCCCCTCCCCTCCCCTCCTCCCTCCTCCCTCCTCCCTCCTCCTTTTCCTCACCTCCCATCAACACCGCACTCCATTAACAGTAATGTACATGATAGCGGAGTGATTAAATATATAGCGGATGATGGCTGCGTGTGTGTGTGTGTGTGTGTGTGTGTGTGTGTGTGTGTGTGTGTGTGTGTGTGTGTGTGTGTGTGTGTGTGTGTGTGTGTGTGTGTGTGTGTGTGTGTGTGTGTGTGTGTGTGTGTGTGTGTGTGTGTGTGTGTGTGTGTGTGCGCGCGTGTGTGGGGGGGGCTGCTGAACATGTGTCAGTGTGCCAGACTGGATCTGTTAAAGCTGCCGGTCGTCGCCTGAAGCCAAAGCAGAATATCTGTGGTCTGCTCTAAACGCCTCTGGTTATGGAAGCTGATTGACGGCTGGCGAGTCGATCGATTGATAATGACAGTGACGAGGAGGGAAATTAACTTTAACAGCGTCCAATAACCGAGAAGCTTTCCTGTAATGTGATTTTTTACAAACCTGATCTTTATAATCAGCAGTCTACTGATGACACAGGGTGACAGTTTGTTTAGCATTTAAGACAGGGTTGGTAATTCCCTCCAGATCCACTCTTTAAGATTTTGGTTGAAATTGTCTTTAGGTCCTGACAGAAATTAATAACTCATGTTCTCTGAAAAAGGAACAAAGAAAATCCATCATCTGTAACAGTTGTAAGTCTGTAAAAACTTTGACCAATGTCTGATACGAGATACCAATCTGATGAACCAATCACACGCCTCCTGTCTCCCTGCTCGTTCTCTATCTCTTGTGTACTCTAGCTCACACTCAAAGCACGTCACCAATGACAGAGTTTATACTGTGAGTTTATTTACTGCTGAATGAGACATGAGACGACGTAGTTTCTACACAATGTAAGAGATGAACTGAGGTCCACTTCTGGGGCAGCGGCGCTCGTTAGTTAGGGGCTATGTGCCAGACTATTACCAGGAGTGCAGAGTCAGTAAATTAAGGGACTGTTCAGATAAAATGGAAGACAAGCTAGCTAAGAATGCTAACTGTTGATATTGATATATTATGATCACTCTAAATATAGATGATTTTAAAAGCACATTAGAGAAATGTTTAAAAGAAAGGGAGGTTAGCCGCTCCGCTGTGCGCCTCTCATGAACCCGCCCAGCCGTCAAACAGTTCACTTCATGCAGCGACTGTCACACCTCATCCAAACATATTATCAACACCTCGGCTCAGCTGGTGTTAGCTGAGACGCCGCTGCCTGATTAAAGTGAGGCCTCAGCGTCTCCTTCTCATGACGTGTGAATTGTGTTTATGGATCTTAAACATCGGAGACGCCGGCACGAGACAGAAGGTGAAAGAGGCTTTAATTTCATTTGATTCAGGACGATCATTTCTTCCGCTTCATTTACCAAAAATAGACTCAAAGACAGATTAGACGACGATCTGTGAGTGCAGACAGGAGCTGGTCTTCACTCTCTTTGTCTGTTATTAGGATTCATGTGACAAACCTGAAGGTGCATCTGATTCTGGTAAGAGTTCAGATTATCAGATGATTTGACGACTTCCCTTTTGATCACATTGCGGTCACAGTTATTACTACAAATACAAACAAAAACAGATTTGTAAACACCATTCAAAGCATTTATTTTCCTGT